CTAGCCAATACCTGTTTTCCATGTAACGGACCAAACACATAGATATTGATTGTTATTTTTGTGCGTGAGAAGATTCAATCTAGGGATGATCAACACTGTTTATGTCCATACTGCAGATCAACAAGCTGATATCCTCACCAAGGGCCTAAGCAGAGTACAACATAGCTATTTGTTATCCAAGCTAGGGATGAAGAACATCTTCACTTCCTCTAGCTTGAGGGGGGGTGTTGAGAGTATGGATGTATTAACTAGTGGTGTAACTTAACTAGAGTTAGCCTAATACTAGTTGAACTAACTATAGTTAGTAGTTAATTAGTTAGTACAGCTGTATAGCAGTTATGTTAGTATATAGTGGTAGTTAATACTGTACAAATACGGTTAATCAAAAAATGAAGATGAGTTCTCTTCTTCCTCTATTCTCTCCTACTTCTTAGCTCAAAGCTCATCTTCAAACCACAAATTCTTCACTGTTAAGTACAACTATCGTGGGCAAAGTCAAGTAGTGGACCTCATTGTGAAGGAAAGAATAAGTAGGAAATTATGTGACAGCTTACACTTTTTGGTAGTTTTTTTTGTGTTTGTCGCAAATGCAGTATAGGCAGATATATTAAGAATTATTTTTGAAACAACTACATCATCGGCTTGTAATAGTACTAATAACTTGGCTTACAATATTACTGTGCAAAGGAGCAATGCTCCCCAACATATGTAATTTCGTTATATATATGAGAATCTAATAACCAAAAAAAAACAACATGAGGTGTATTTAGCCAATGTGCTCTGTCTATTGCAAGGTTAGTTTAGTTTGGTTCCTCAGACCACATTAAATGGTGGGGGTGTGAAATAAATTGGAATAATTGGTACAGATGAAATCAACGGTGGTTTGAAGTTAAAATATCAAAAACTTAGAGCGGTTTTTTTTGTGGNNGGGGGGGGAGGGATTGTTGCAAAAAATTTCTTTTCCAATTTCTTAGAATTTTTATCTATCTGTATAGAATAGGAGAAACAAATCAATGTGATGATGCTAAATGTCACAACAAAAATTCAACAAGTGTCAAATTTTAGGACAAAGTTAGTTAGGTTAGTTAATAATTAGTTACTCTTTTTAAATTAAATTAAAATTAATTAAATATCTATATATTTTTACGGAAACTATAATAAAAAAGAAAAATATATATATAAATAAATAATTTCAATGTTGATATATATAGAATGATAAGACTCATTTATTTTTTGAGATGAGAAAGTTTTTGAATAATAATTCATATGGTCATGCTATATGGATAAGATCATGTAACTAAAAATATTATAATAGATAAAACTAAAAATAAATACATAAACAAATTATTTCAAGAAATAAATAAAATATATAAAGATATAATTTAACTTATTATGTAGTAATTTTAATAAGAAAAATTAAACTTTCATATTAAATACAAACGGGAAGAAGAATTCAATTAATTTCTTATTAAAAATAATAATTATTACAATTATTAGTATATTTATGACATATAATAAAAGGACTTCTCTGTCTTATCTTTGAAGTAATTCAACACCATCCATTTAGAAAAATAATATAATAATATTATTATAATAGATAAACACTAAATAAAAAAGATTAAAATATTGTAGAACAAAAATTAATGTATAAAGAGGAGAATATCTTAATATTAGTATAATAGATAAATACTAAATAAAAAAGATTAAAATATTAGAACAAAAATTAATGTATAAAGAGGAGAATAGATATAATATGATTCTATCACACTTTAAATTTATTTGAGAAATTTGATAAAAAATAGTCAAACTATTATTGATAAGTTTAAATATCGAAATAATTTTAGAAAGTCATATAGGATAAAGTCAAGTTAAATTTGAAGAGTAATACACAATTATATTCATTGTATTATATTAAACTGGTATTTATTGAAAATTCATATGTCAATTTAATAATATTAAGTAATGGATAATGCAACTAGATAAGCAAGAAGCAAAAAATAAATAAAATATAGATTTGCGAAAAAATATAAAAATAAGACTTATAATTATAATTATGATGAGAAAAGTTGTACATATACAGATAACTAAAATCATAATAAACAAATAGTCATAAAGGAAGAATACTAAAACAAAAAAAATAAAAAAAATTCAAGCGTTAGCTTAAAAATATATATACTAATTAAATATCTCATGTAGGAAACTTTAATTAATAAATAAAACTCATAATTTCAGAATAAAAAATACAAAAATATAATATACTTATCCTATGTATAATATCCTAATAGTATATTTATATTTTTGTATTTTTCATTCTGAAACTATGAGTTTCATTTATTAACTAAAATTTCCTACATGAGAAATTTAATTAGTATATCTATATATATATATATATATATATATATATATATATATATATATATATATTAGGATATTATATATATAACCGGAGAATGCAATGCCTGATATATATCAAAAAGATGGACAATCAAACCTATTTCTCGATTCACTCAAAGAGGTGAATAGGGTCCCAATAGAGATATGTAAAAAGCAGGTCCGATTACGCGTATTCCTAATCCTACATGGAATGTAATGATGTAGGAATCCATATGTAAACATAGTATCTATTTAGATAGGCCCGAATGACCCCTTCTCATAATGAGAATGTATATAACCCTATTCCGGCCTGGTCCGGTATGGAATGAACTTATAATCATGGAATCGACTATATATATATATATATATATATATATACTATTAGGATATTATACATAAGATAAGTATATTACATATATAACACAAATTAGTAATTACTAAAAATATTGGTAGGCTTTTTATGAAAATAATAAAAGTCTTATCTCTTTATACTATTATACTATTTAAATTTTTAGTAAAATATAAAAAGAGAAAACTAATCAAATATTACAGTAGATTAGTATGAAAAAATGGGAATAAAGATAATTTTATTATATTTCTAGTTTGGATTAATTAATAAATAAAAGATAAATAAATAACACTCAAAAGAAAGTTATTGATAAATTTAGACAATTGAAGAATTTTGAACACTATAACATAAGTTAAAAAAAAAATATTAGAGTAAGAAAATATATATCTATGTTATATTAAAAGAGAAGTGCATCAAAATATTAAGTCAAAGATAAGTTAATAAAAAGTTATACTCCATTAGTAAATGTATAATACTAAGTACCTGCTAATTTTATAATAAAAAAAATAAGAAAAAAATGTTATATGATGACTATATAATTTGTTTTTCTTTAATTTCATATAGTTTAGTTAATAAAATATTGTATTGAGAAGTAAAATACCAGTTGAAATTCTATTAACACAACATAATGTAATATACTAAAAAGATAAATTACAATTTAAAATAACTAATATACTACATAATGCCAGTTGTAATATTTTTTAAAATAATTAATTATAATTTCATATAGTTCAGGAATATCTTTTATAGGATTTTTTTTTTTTTTTATAACAAAAAACTTAAGTTTATGGACTTATTTTACGCAAATGCCCCAAGTTGTTCTCTTCCTGCATTTAGTCCAAGAGACACCTTTCCTCTCAGTTCTCAAAAACATCCCCTCATATTTCCAAATTCAAATTGACGATTTATATTCCTGAATCGATCAACTACTCTCTTCGCCTCACTGTTTCAACGCTAACAATTAAAGCTTCAAGCCTCCAGAGAATCGTTCATTCTCCTTTGAAATCAGTATCTTTCTCTATAATGCAGCGCCTTAGGTTTTTGTAATCTTCTTTTCCAATATTATAGAGATGAGTGATATAGGCGGGGGACTTGATCCTTCTGGTACTACAGAAGCATCAAAAAGTAGTGGTTTTGATGCAAATCGAATTGCTGAAGTGAAATCTTGGCTTACTTCCCAATTTGACGCTGTGGGTAAAGATGTCCCTGATTTTGAGTATACTCCTAGAAGTATCGCTGAATTACACAAGATTGCCACTCTATCACAAGCCAAAACTCAAGCTGCTGTTATTGTTGCCAATGATTACCGTCAAAAGGCAGCTGAGTACAGGTCCCAAGGTCATATTTTCAGTTTAATGTTTTCCTAAAGGATGATTTCCTAGAAAATAAGTGGGTTTCTTTCTTATTTTCTGGTGTTTGGTAAGTAAGCAGAAAATGTTATCCTAAGAGCATTTATATATAAACTATGCGACCCTATGGAGAGTTGGGGGTTGGGTTGGATGGGGGGTGGGTGGGTTTGGGGTTGTTGGTTTGCGGGCGAATAGGGGTTCAGGGGGTGAGGGAGGTGGGGGTTGGGCGAGGTGGTGGGAGGATTGAAACTCTCCATCTGAGAGTTATGGACTTAAATGTTTTCCCTTCTCTTGCTAGGGAAGTCATTATCCTAAAATTTAGAGGAAAATGTGTTCATAATTAGAATATTTTTCCAAACATTTAAGCCAACCAAACATGGAAATTTTGAAAAACATTTTCCTCCATACCAAACACACCCTTGGTTGAAAATTGAGGTTCTTATCTGAGTGAGCTGATTGTGTGTTTGTGATTGCAGCTGCAAGGATGAGAGAGATACTGGAGAGTGTGGGATTGGCTCAAGAGAGTTTACCATCTAATGTGGTTTCATCTGCACATGTTCTTGCAAAGGTTGCAAATTTGTTGGATATCCGAGATACTGAATTAAGTAGGTCAGTCACATTTTTTCCCTAATTAATTTTTTAAATTCTTACTTTTAATTTTGTTTGTACTGACTAGACAAAAACATTGTAGTTTTCTTGTTGCGGTGGCAGATCTTTCTTTACGGAAAACAGCAGTAGAAGAGAAGAGAAATAAAGTGCAGCAGGAATCAAAAGTCCTTCTTGAATACACCCGGAAGGCAATAGCAAGATTGACTTATTTGAAAAGGTGAATTTTTAGTTATGTCTCTCTTGCTTGTCGTGAAATAACTCCTGCTGAATGTGGTAGTAGTTTTGTTCATGGCACTATGTTCGTGTGTTATGCTGTTTCAAGAAATAAATACTTCCCGTGGCATAAAGAAGTTCTGAGTCTTTCAATTAAGCAATGTTGTCCTTTCTTCTCTTAACTGTCTGTGTCTTAGCAGAGCACTTTCACAGCTTGAAGATGATATTGCTCCTTGCCAAGCACAAATGGAAAACTGGAAAACAAACTTGGCAATTATGGAGTCGAAAGAGCGGCAGTATTTGCAAGAATATGGTTATTACAAGGTAAGCTTATTTTTGTCTTGAATATTATTGCTGTGAATTTGAGGACTTCATTTTCTGTTCCAAGTTAAAGGACAAGATGGTGTTATAAAATTTAGTATATATTGAGCGGTTATGAGGACATCTTCTTTTGAAGTAGTATATCCTGCAATCTTGTGGTTCTAGGGCTTAAAGTTTCTTGGTTTTCATGGCACATCCTTTTAAACATTTGCTAGTGTCGGTGGAATTTATACATGTGCGTGTGTATGAATTTCACATCTCTAAGTTATATTTACTTTGTGAAGAAGTTTGATGCAAATTTTTCTCTAGAATAGAAAAGATTCAATATCCTCAAGACGATAGTCTGCACCATTTTGACTTGTGAGTGAGTCTGTCTTATTTTATCTCTATTCTTCTGTGCCAACAGAGATAGGAGATTTTTGGCACTATTTTTTGATGATGACAAAATCGTCCAGCGCTGTTTCTCTTCAATTCTCCTGCTAAATGGAGGTTCTTGGCTAGGTTAAAGCCTTGAGTTGGCTGCATGTGGGGATTGGTGAAAGGCCTCTAGGGCTGTGCTATCTTTAACTTGAAATCTAACCCCCCCGTTTCTCCCCAGTGTTGGACAAATGTAAGTGAAAACGTAGTTCAGTCATTGAAAGTTGTTGCGGACCTTATAAGAGAAAGGAAAAGGACTTTACACATGGAATGGAAGAGTGGAAGTTATATGAAACTTGGCTATATGGTCAATGGGAAGTTGGAAGTCATGTGGGAAAGAATAGAGCTAATGCTACTAGTGTTTTATATTTTTCTATCCGAATTTATATTGGGGCACTTGTTTAAGATCTTAATATCATGCAACTATCTAGTAGATTGGAGGGTAATAGCATCACAATTTGCAGGTTAGGAAATTTTGCAAGTCGTTCATGTTCTTTAAAAACATTTGGTTGTTATGCACTACCACTTGGCTTTTCATCCCTCTGTTTTGAAGATATTCTCTGATTTTTTCTATTTAAGCCTTGGTGGATAGAGTTACCTTGTACCTATACTGGTGGGAGATAGCAGGTGCCTGGTGAATTAGTCGAGGTGTGCCCAAGCTGGCTCAGACTCCACAATTATAAAAGAAAAAGAATAGTCTACTGTCAAACCTTATCATGCTACTTGCTTCATACCTACATCCACACACTTCGCACACCCACCATGGATAGAAGACCCAAAGTACTAAATTTGGTGTGTGCACAGTGTTTTTTAGATGTTGTCTTTAAGGTTGGACTATAGCTCATGTCCGAAATACAGCTGCTTCTTTTTTGGGGCTTTGAAACGGGTGCCTATCGTTTAGTTGTATATAAGGGATATAAAAGGAAATGGAGATAGCACTACAGAAACATGGTGAGAACAAGTAATCCAAAAACTCTGCACAGTCTAATTACAGATGATAAACGGTTCTAGGTCTTGTAAACAAAACTTTTGCAGATAGAAAGAATTACAAAATGCAACTGCAGCTTGTAAACTAAGTCCCTAAATAGGAATTACGACAGAGGACTGGCTAATCTGTGCCCATTGGGATAATTACGATGAGTCAGGAGCACTTGTAGAACCAGATGAATTGCTTAATGGGCTCAAATCATTGTTCCGTTGGAGCAGCAATTTCATCTTTCATCTTCTGTCACAAGAGAACTTCTGCTGTGAAACATAATTTATTTGATGCTCTGCCCATCGACAGGAGTGGGTCCTTTTGGCTTAACAAGCTAGAAACTTGATTGATCTGAATGTATACCTGGCACTTGATCATAATTTTGTTACTCATGTATACCTGAAACTGTGAAGTGGATGTTAAAAGGTCTTTGGATGCAGGCAGTGCTTAATCGTGTTGGTTACACGCCAGAGATTAGTCATGGGGTATTGGTTGAGATGGCAGAGCATAAGAAGGACTTGGAGAAGAAGACAAAACCAATTCTTGATACTCTGAGAAGCTACCAAGACTTGCCTCCTGTAATTATTCTAAACATGACATGAATTCCATTATTCTTCTCAATTACATTATGCTGTTGACTTTGAGACTTCCATCTGCAGGATAAAGCCTTGGCAGCGTTGGCAATTGAGGACAAGAGAAGGCAGTATGCTGCTGCTGAGAAGTATCTTGAAGATGTGCTGCAGTCAGCTCTTGCCTCCTCAGAGTGACGTCCAATTGCTTTTCTGCAAACATTTCATTTTTCCTTCACTTGGGGTTTTAGTGCCTTACATATTAAACGTTTGGGTAATTGAGATTGTGATTGATTCTCTTTTGACGCTTGTGCTATGTTGTCCTTTCTGTATGTTCCTGACAGTGTATTCTCAAGACTAAGAAACTCTTAAAATTGACTCATAATGATTTGTGTAATTTGAATAGAAAAGAAGCTTGGAAAGCTTATCTCCTTGGCAGAGAGATACTGTTGTTCTTATTTTCCCCTCCATTTTCATTTATAGTTTTTTTTGTGCGTGTGTGTGTGTATCTCTTGTTTTCTTTTATATCACAAACTTGCCTTAAAAGTGAATATCAGTTTCAAAAGAGACGAAGTTGTATACTTATGTAATTGGTTCTTATTAACTTATCAGAAAGGGAGGCCTAAGAAGCACTGGGGAGAGGTGATCAGGCAGGACATGGCTCGACTGCAGATGGGATAATTTGATGCTGAAACTATAAACTCAAGAGTCAAACCTTGGTTTTCCTCATTATTATTCTTACTTTAAAATGTCTTTTTGCCTTGAAAATCTTTTGGATAACCCACGATGCATTCCTTGGTTCTGTGTTCCATATAGTACCCCCCTTATGTAGTAAGCATATATCCACTGGACCCACAACTTTTCCTTCTTTGTGCAAATGTTCCATAAAAGCTTGCATCTAGCTGCATTGTTCCACAGTTCCACATTGATGAAGTTTAAGCCTCCTGCTACCTTTGGAGCAAAGTTTATCCCAGACAATCAGTGCCTTCTTGGTAGGTTCAACACTCTCCGACCGTAAGAATCTCCTGCATATTGTTTCAATGAACTGTATGATCTTTTTTGGCAGAATGAATATTTGAGCCCAGAATGTCTGAATTGCCTCTAGTACACTCTTAATAAGCATTGCTCTGCCTGCGTATGACAAAAACTTTGTTGTCCAACATTGGATCCTGCTCAGCATTCTATCTATTAGGGGTTCACATTGCATAGCTGTCATTATTTTTGTGCTCAAAGGGACTCCTAGGTACCTGAAAGGTAAATCTCCTTTAGTGTATCCTAACATGTCCATAATATGCTGTTGTGTCCTGTTGTCCACTCCTCCAAAGTAGATGCAACTTTTGTTTGGATTTGCAATTAGGCCTGATGCTGCCAGAGAAAGTTTGAAACTGTTTGTGCAGGATCTTGACTGATTGTATATCTCCTCTACAGAACAACAATAAGTCATTAGCAAATCCCAATTGTACTAAGTTGGTTTTAGCACATCTGGACTGCTATTTCAATTTCCCTCCTAGCTCTCCTTTCTCCGACGTTGCACTATCCCCCCTTGTGATTGCAGAGTTACTGGCAATTCTGCTGAAAGCCATTAGAAGGATCACCGATAATCCATGGCTTTCCTGTAACTCTGTAAGTTCCATTAAGATTTCAAAACGTTAAGACTTACTTTATTTTGCTTTGGAATTTGGTGTGGCCTTAATATTTTCTGAATAATTGACATTTAACTTTCTGAAACTTGGATTGCCTGCCGACTTATGTAAAAGCTTAATCTATTAGAGAAATCACACTTTTATTTACTTAATTATGTTAACATGGAATTGATACCATATTGAAAGTATGAGTACCCTTATCTAAAAACATAAGCTGTTAGAGAAAATGCACTTTTATTTACTTAATTTTGTCTGCGCAAATGTAATATAAGGTGGAATATTTCTCATATCTTTCAAGAGGATAGACTGAAATACTGAATTATGAGATATTTCTACATATACCAGGATTGATGGTTAACAGGCATTAATATGGAAATTTTATGAAGAGAGTAAAATGCATCTTTTTTGTTACATCTATATTTTTAATGTTTGAGAGGCAAATTCAGGCAAGGACATGATCTCAGTAAGGATATGCAAAACAATGATAGGGGGCACAAACCTATGTCACACTTGAAAAAAGAAATTTTGCATTAAAAGCTGTGAAAAATGGTGCTTTTGATGCCTCAATAATGTCAGGCAATATACTATCACAATCTGTGGTTATGGAAATTGACCCCAAACATAGCATTTTGGCCTACTAGTAGTTGAATTGCATAATATATATATATATATATATATCATCAACGTAACCTTTTTGTCTATTGCTTTTTGTTTTTCCTTTAAAAGGGTATTTACCTTTTCTGTCATAACCTCTAGTTTTCAAGCCAGAAACATTGTATGGATAATGTAAAGGATCAATGCATCGACAGGTTCATATCCTGATGATTCACCTACAGTTAGATGCATTTTGTCAGTGCGAATGGACATTTTAATTCAATTTTGGGCACTTGTGAAGGACAATAGTCAGTTTGTATTTTGATCTAGTGGCAAGGTAAGCCAATTGTTAGCAGTTTTTGGATATCTTCACAAAATGTAATTTTTAAGGCACCAAGATATAAGTTAAGGATTTAGTACAAAATATTTTTATAAAAGGATTTGGGTCAAAAGAACAAGAAGATTTGTCCATGCAGCAAGGGCCAGAATTTGATATTGCAATATTACTTAAAGCAAAGACTGATGCTAATGAGAAAATACATCCACAGTTTTTGAAAAGACAGAAAGAGATGTTGGTTTTCTGTTTCTTTCATAGCCTACTTTATATATATATTTGAGGAAGAAAGAGTGTCAGAGAGAAGCTGTATTTTCCCTTTGTTCCTTTGTACCAATTGTTTCAGAATGCATGTAATTGGTTGAGAACGCATGCATCTACTCCTACTTCGTTTGCACCAGACACTACTGCCTGGTTTTGGTTCAAACTCTTCAACCAATCAATCATGAATTGCCATTACAGCAGATAGAGGTTGGAACTTTGGTAACAGAAATGCCAAATGATAAATCAAATACTTGAGTAAACGAGTCCCTGGTCGTCCCCCAAAATTCTCGTCGTCCTCTTGAGCAAGTGCTGGGTAGCATCGTTGATGTTCCAAGAAAGTCCACCTGCTGCTGCTTTGCAAAATGGAGAAACTGCAACAATGATATGGGCCTGGGGAATACATTAACTTAGTTTTCATCACACAGTTTGCACAACTGGAAAACAACGTTACTAAAAAAATCAGGTTTTAGCGACGGACAAATTCTGTAGCTAAACAGAAAAATCCGTAGCTAATCTCATTTAGCGACGAATTAGCGACAGATTATCAAAAAATTCTGCTAGCTACGGGCAATTTAGCGACAGATTAGCGACGACGTTCGTAGCTAATTCTAGTTACTTTTCGTATTCAGTACCAGGATACATATGACGATTGGATACTCCTAGCTTGTAATGATTGTTAGGTGTTGTCCTGATTTTCGTACCATATTGAGTTTTTCTATCTCTTGAAGGGAAGTGCAACATATTTACCATAATTGGGTTTTCCTTCTTGTAGAAGGAAATTATAAATCTCTCATATTTAGCTAGTCCTTTTCTTGTAGGAAAATGTTTGGACTTTTATCAATTGAGGATCCTTCCTTCTCATTCAGTAGCATCCACAATGTAGCCATATGGGGTTAGAGTCGTTTTAGGGGGAGAACTTTACGAGATAAGTGTTAGTGTGTCACCTGTGTTTGCCTCTTCGTGAGGTTGTTCTCTTGATATTTTGTACTCTATTTTTTATAGTAGATTGCTCATCTCCGTCATGGATGTAGGTCAGTTGACCGAACCACGTTATATGTTTGTGTCTCTTTTGGTATGTTTCTCTTTGTTGTATGATTTATCGTCGTTCAAGATTTGCTTTGCTAGCTTCTGCCATAACACCTGATTTTTTCGGTTCTAACAAGGTAATAAATTAATCAAAATGTTGGTACAAGCCATAAACTTGTCAAGTTTAACTGAAGGTATGTATGTGAATTGTGATTGTGTCAAAAATACAAGTCTTTTCTTTTTGGGGGAGTTGTAATAGCAATTCATATCTGAGATTACTCATACTGATATGGTAATTCAATAATCTATTCAGCAATATTGACTTCTTTTTCGTCTTGAGTCACCTAAGTTCATTTTTTATTTGCATTATTTAGCATGTTAGCTGAAAGAATAATTCTGCGATTTTTATTTGGTGTAATTGATTTATATAGACAGAGGGAACACGCATACACAGGTGCTGTAACCCACTGTGTTAGCTTTTACTCTTTACTTCCAGAGTATTCTTTTAATATGTTGAGTTTTGATCTTTCAAAATATTTGTATGGGTTAGAACCCGACCCCACGATAATTAACAAGGCTAATCCCGTTTCAAGCTAATTCATGATTAATTAGTGGTACGACCACTTAGAATTGACGATGTTCAACCCGCATCTGACTCGATCGACAAGGCCATGGCCTATCCGCCACCATAAAGGCGAGATCCCAACGTGGTCACGGCCACTTATTGCTAGCTCACAAAGCCCACAGCTATAAATACTAAGAGTGGAAGCCCTAGAAAGAGGGCTGCTTCTTCACCACTATAGAGAGGAGAGAGAAGGAAAAAATATACCCATCTTATGGGAAGAGAAAACACCATTGTAAGGCTCTGAACCTCTTCATGGAGAGGCAGACCAAACAAATATTATCAATAAAAGTTTCGAATGTTTCTCCCCCTAATTCTGAGCACTTATTCTCGTTTCTTTCATTTAGTCCAACGGATTATTACGATTTGCTATGATTTTCCCGTGATTATTTGTATTGTTTTACACTCACAAGATATGTAATAACTTTTGAGCAAACAATTTGGCGCCGTCTGTGGGGATTTCATAGCAAAATCGCGTAGTTCTTCCATGGACCAAAAGGAAAGAAATGCCGGAAAAAGAAGAACAACCCAGCTTAAACAAGCCAAAGCGGCACATCAGGCCGATGGAACTCGAAGATCTCGAATCGGGATCCAGTTCTTCTGTTTCTCATCTATCGGATGGTGCAAACAAGAAGAAGAAGCCCCCCCTCTCTTTTGGGGAGAATCTCCGTAAGAGATCTCCCACATCCCTGATAAGGGCTCCAGCCGGAAACCAGCACGGAGGAATCTCGAATCGAGAATCGCTTCGAGACAGCCTACATACCCTGGTTGGGAAGATAACGATTAAGCTGCTCAAGATCTCGAATCAAAAGCGAGCTTCAGCTCCCAAAAACCCACGAACCAAGAAAGTTCAACAACAGTTGAACCAAGACAGGCTATGCGCCTTCACCAGAAAGTTCAACTACAGTTGAACCGGGACTCAGGCCACGAGCCTTCGCCGTCAAAATCGACTAAGTTCA